ATCTTCAAAGATCTTAGAAGAGATCTTCAAAGATAAAATCCTTTGAAGATCTCTCCCCGTGCATGTGTTCAGTTAGCCATATTCCCCGCATTTTTATGTGTATATTTCTCCAAAATTTAATTAAGAATTATTGATAAATAAATATAGGTATCTTTGTAGCTAAACTGGACAAATGTGGCAGCCCCTCAAATATTGGAACATTGATATCATCCTTAGCAATGCACTAATGTTAATTGGCACATTATATAACAGCAACATTAGTAGATATTTCAGTGGTGTAACTCACAGAATTTTTCATTAACAACATAATTATAGTAGCTATGCACCAATTCACCAATCAATGTTAGGTGATGGCTGAATAAAGATACGATGTTCTCCAACATAAAACAGACAAATAAGCAATCATGAAAAAGCTATTACATTCTCTCCTAGTCCATAATGTATCAATGCCTGTGCATTCTTCTGTATTGTGGATTATGTGCTTTCTACCTCTTGAATTTTCAGATGGCATAAGTAATGTGATTCATATTTGGTCAAATGTGGTATTTGAAAGCATTTTGGAAGTTAGTTTTGTAATTGTACAACTAGCAGCATGTTTGTGACCTAGAATAGGAGATAACTATTAATATCATACTTACAATTTCAGTTATGTATTGAATCATGAAATCATAGAATTGGAGGGGACTATTTAGGCCTTCAAGTCCAAACTCCTTTTTTGTGCAGGAATCAAAATTAAATTATCTCCAATTGGTGACTCTCTACTTCTACTTGAATACGTCCAGAGAACCCACCAGTGTCCAAGCAATTGAATCCTGTCAGAATACTCTTGCTATAGGATTTTCCCCTAATATTCATTTGGAATCTGTCTTCATGAACTTGAAATCCATATTGGTAGATTTATAGGAGCCTTGGTGGAGCAGCAGACTAAAGCGCTGTTAAGTAGCACTTAGCTGCCAGCTGCCTGCAATTACTGCGAGTTCAAATCTCACCAGGCTCAAGGTTGACTCAGCCTTCCATCCTTCCAAGGTAGGTAAAATGAGGACCCGGATTGTGGGGGCAATAAGCTGACTTTGTATAAAAAAGAACACCGCTTAGGGGGGGCCGAAAGCCCTACTAAGCAGGTATATACAAAAGTATGAAGGCTATTGCTTAACGCATTGTAAGCCGCCCTGAGTCTCCGGAGAAGGGCGGCATATAAATCGAACCAATAAATAAATAAATATTCTGTCCTGTTTTCAAGGAATGATGGAGACCTTTTTCCATTTAACATCCTTTCCAGGAGTATTAAGAGTGCTATCTTATTTCCCTTCAGTCTTCCTTTCATAAAGTTAAACTTTCTCAATCACTTTCTTCTTTTTTCATCTGATTATATTCAGAGCCATTCTTCAAACTAGATACAGTTTGTCTGAATTTTCTTAAATTGGGAGCTTGGAATTGGACAGAAAACTCCAAAATCATAGATTTTGGTACTAAGAAATAGTAGTAGTAGAACACCACTACTACTAATAGTAGAACACTAAGGCCACAGTATCACTGAGGCATACAGAAAATAATATAACATGAGGGGTTCTTGATGCTCTCTGAGCTCGGTTGTTTTCTTGCAGACATTTCATTAACCAAACTAGGTAACATCATAAATATTAGTCTGTTGAGGCTAACACTAACACTGATAATATTACCTAGTTCGGGTAAGGAAAAATCTACAAGAAAACAACCAAGCTCAGAGAACACCAAGGATCCTCATTTCAACCCTGAGCTACAAATATTCTCCTGTATTGGTACCAATAATACAATAATTTATTAAATTTCTATCCCATCCAATTCTCAATGATTCCAGGTAGCTCACAACATTCAAACAAATGACTATCAAATAAATAAAGTATGTAAAGATGGCAAGCATGATGAAGTGGGGTGGGAGAGTTTTAGCTCTTCCTTACTAAATACTTGAATGAAAAACCAGGCCTTCATGGCTCTTCCAAACAGGCAAAAAATCCAGGTATCATCATTATTATCATAATCTCTTCGTTTTATTTTTTTTATTGAATTTATTGCAATTTCTTTAATTGTTATGAGCCACCTAGAGTCACTGAGAATTGGGTTGCATACTAGTTTAATTATTACTATTACTATGATCTTCATAATAAGAAAATCTGTTTTTCATTATTACCTGACCTTTGTATAATTTATAAAGTGCATATAAAATGTAAGTTGTGGTGATGTTACAAAACATACCGGTACTTCTCATATTAGTCTTTACAAGTGGGAAAGCCTAGCAAAACATATTATTCTGATGCTTTGTATCTTGTCATTCTTTCTCCTGAACATTCCATTTAAATTCATAAGCATTATATCATAAGTGCTATATCTTCATAACATTCTTCTGCCTATTTTCAGTAATTTCTATATTTGCAGTGCAACATCTCTGTTGGCATGCTGGTACTGCATCCTGGTACTGTCAGAAAATGCAACATTTTTAAAAAGCATTTTATAATCAAGAAGAAAAAAGCTTTCAATCTAATCTCTTTTCTCGAATGTTCCCTTGTAGCTGTTATTCCCATTTCAAAGTAGTCCCTGGGGGAAGTTGTATTTAACAATTTATAGTTTCATTTCCCCCGTTTTCTATCCAACCTTTCTACCACTTCTTTAATCTATGCAGATTAAACTTTTGAGTAGTTCCTAAAAAGACCATTCACTTCCGCTTCTTAATTTATCTAACAGTATTGCTGGAGATTCTTATCATTCTGTTAATGTTCAGGGGAGCCAAATGCTATAATCATTCAGGTTGAGGGAGGAAAATCCACATACTGTATTCTCAGATGAAATTTTACTGTTCTTTTTGCTTACATTTGTGAAACTCCACGATTCTTTTGAAATGCAGTGCAGTGTAGTGGTTAAAGACACAAGGGCTGAAAGTGGGAGACTATTGAGTTCTAGTCCTGGCATAGGCAGAAAGCCATCTGGGTGACCTTGGGCCACTAACTCTTTCTCAGCCCTAGGGAAAAGGCAATGACAAATCTTGGCAAGAAAGCTGCAGGAACTTCTCTATGCAATTGACAGAAGTCAAGTCTGACTTGATGGCACAAAGAAAAAACTCCCTTAATTTTAAATTCACATATGTGAACTTAACAAATCTAGTTTTATGAAAACTTGTAGAATATGTTGTTCTCTTTTAAGTACTGTAACTAGTAATTATATTTAAAGGCGCAGGAGAACTACTAGTTATAACATATCACTAGCATAGACCCCAATATCTGTGCTTTCAATACCAATCGTGAATGCTACGCCCCTTGAATATTTGTAGGGCTGAACATGCACCCACATAGAAGTTCAGCTCCCATGGGGTCTTTATACTGTATATGTAGACTATCCTGTATCTGATGTCCACATCTGACATGAATGGCTTTTTTTAATGTGAACACCATGTGGAAGAGAGTTGCAAGAGACGATATAACAAAGACTCACTAGAAAAATGAGAAATAAGTACACACATAAGCTTGGTGATTGCTTTTATATGGAGATGATAAACTTATTTCTTAGCCCCATAGTTATCCATAGTGGTTCCTCTAGAAACCTTCCAGCTATTGCCCTCTCAGACCAGGGGAGTCCTTGTAGGCTTTTCTTGAGATATTGCTAAAACTTCAAAGATATTTCTTAGATGCTGGAAGACTACTGCTATTCCTGCAAAAAAGCCTTGGTAGCCACTGAGGTGGATAGAAATAGCTTGCTATTTACTCTTCATCTTTGTGCCCAAATGAAATGGTGAGACTAGAAGGTGCTTAGAATAGTATCTGGCAGTGCAAGATGCAGAGTTGCTAGGAGACAGATGAAGGTGGATAGATTTACCCAAAGTAGAATCCTTCAGGTATACCAGAAGCTGCAGCATTCAGGATACTGCACCTTAAGCAGGAATGCACAATTCTGATGACAGAAGGGGGCAGTGCCTCATGGTCAGGGGTATTCTGAGGGGAGAGGAGATTTTTTGTGATGGGACATACCTCAGAAGTATAACCAAGTAGATGCAGAGATCAGTGCTGAGTCTGGAAAGGACCGCTTGGCAGGCAGTTCTGGAAATAGGTAAATGGTGGAGCTGGTAGGGCTGGTGCAGTCTAAAAAGGCAACTTGTTTATATGCTGGCTTTTGCAGCCTTGCTGCAGTTCTATTGCTCACCTTGGATTCCTACATTCGCAGCTGAACTCGGCCTTCTTTTTTTGTGAGTACAGTACCTGGGATAGAGAATCAGAAGGAGCGTCGCGGAGGCGGGGGGGGGCATCAGCAAACCAGTGGCGGGGCCAGTTTGCGTTTCCAATGTAGAGGCGATGCAGTAAAGACAAGCGCGAAGGCAGTCTCCGCTCTGCCCTTGGGAAGAATCCGCGTCCCGGAAAAGGACAGGGCTGAAGCTAGAGGGAGGTCGCGCCAAGGAATCTGGATGAGAGGCATTAGTAAATATTAACCCCACCCACCCACCATAGCTCTTGCTCCAAGTAGGAAAAGGGGTTGGGGTCCTCCGAGAGGCGATCAAAACGCAGGAAGATTATTGCATATTGCAAAAGCAGCAGCGACCTTGGGAAATGTCATGAAGGAAGCGGCAATGACTGCGAGGCACAGAGGGAAGGGGTGGCGGGAAAGTGCGCGGGCGCGCGAGCCAGCAAGCTATCTGGAATTGACTAGAAAAAGTAAATACGAGAATTGGAGGAAAGAGGATTGCAGTTTTCAAAATCACTTAAATCGGAAACCCAAATACCTCGAGGAGGAGGAGTTTTCTAAGTGTAGCTGACAAGCAGAATGTTTTTGGAAGTTCTTTCCTTTCTCATTTGTATATCTCAGTTTTTGGATGGATAATCCCTCTATTAAGACCAAAATTTTGCTTTTAGGATATGTTTGTGGAGTGATGGATAGTAGTAGTAATAGCAGCAGTCGCCATCACAATAATAGCTGCAGCAGGAACAATAAAAGTGAATCTCAAAGAACTCTGAGTCTTACCATCCCTTTTGTAGCTCCGGATGTCAGAGCACAGCAGCACCACAGATGGGGATGTGGACCCCCAGCATGGCTTATATATGCTGATCCTGCTGATTTTGGTCTTCTTTGTCATGGGTCTTGCCGGCTTTCTCATTTGCCATATCCTAAAGAAAAAGGGATACCGCTGTAGGACATTCAGTGATGAATTTGACTTTGACAACAAGGAATCACTGACACAACTCCAAGATGGTAAGTAACTGGAAGGTGGGATGGGGAGCGAGAAACTAAATTTCTTGGCAGCATCTTTTGCAACTCAGTTGTGATGAGGAGTTCAGTCAAGCCAGAAACTGCTCCTTAATTCTAAAGTCGCAAGCATGGTGCTTTAAAACAGTATATTCTATTGCATGGGTAGTCAACCTTATTATACCTACCGCCCACTTTTGTATCTCTGTTAGTAGTAAAATTTTCTAACCGCCGACCGATTCCACAGTAATGGTGATTTATAAAGTAGGGACAAAACCCCTACTGCCCACTATGAAAGCGGGAACACCCACTAGTGGGCGGTAGGGACCAGGTTGACTACCACAGTTCTATTGGGTAAATCAGATTTAGGATGATATGCAAGAAGGAATCAAGCTTATATAAGTGGTTTAGTGGAGGGCTCAGAGATTTCAGATCAGCCACTATCAAATTTGGCATTTCCCATCCATCTACACTTGTCTAGCATCTCTGTGAGTGGTATTGTTATTTCTAAAATGTAGAAACATAGTTCCTAGTCTAATATGTGTTGGGTTGTAGCTACTACCACTTTTGATAATTTGAGGTAAATTGACACAGAACTAAAGTGAACTTACATCAAAGCAGAATGTACATAGTTGTCTTTTCTATTCTCCTGATTTTGCAACTCATTTAGTTTTATTGTGAAAATATCCTGACAATTGGAGTCTGAGAAATCTCCCCAACCAGATGGGTTTCAGAACCAGACTGTGGGAGGGGTGGGACTGGAGCAGTGAATATAGGCAATCCAGTCCTAGCCCAAAGACCCTCCAGGGTTTAAGAGCTGTTTCCATTAATGGAGATGATTCAAATTGACATGAGCTGCCAAAGGAGTTGTGGTATCGGCATAGATAGTAATAACTGAAGAAGCCAAAACAGAGAGGCCTGTTAGGGTACAATTAATCTTCATTCTTTAAATGAAAAACCTTTTAACAAGATTAACAATTGGCCATGTTTAGACATAAAAATAGTTTCCCTAAAATCCCAAATATTGTTTGTGCTACTTCCATTTTTCATCCTCTTCTTTTGAAGAAAATGACTCCATTTGTCTTGAAATTGTCTGATACTAAAAAGATTTTAAAATGTGATTTTATTAACTTAGGTTTTAGTGTTCAAATTATGCATGCATCAACAATTTAGTGACAGGAAATTGCATTCCAATTTTTCTAAATAACTTATACTTTTATAAACATGCATTTACAATTGTGTATAAAATACTGCTTTGTGCAATGACATGTGGTACATGTTGTAAGAGATATACTTTTCTTGCTTCATGGGCATATTGTTTCTAAGAATAAGTCACCAGAAAAAGAAACTGGCTATAAAACAGGGTTTTTCTTACTATCCTTCATGTATAAGCTAACATTTAGAAACATTCGTTTCTTTATATGATGATATCAAGTACTAAAATAAGGAGATTAAATTACTTTGTACAGTGTTTCCCTGAAAACAAGTCCTATCCAGAAAATAAGCCCTAGCTTGATTTTTACACGTGCCCCCTACCTCCAAAATAAGCCATAGTTAAGACCCCGCCCACCTGGTTGCACGAGGTGGGGCGAGGTGCATGGGTAAAAATTAAGCTAAGGTGGGGATGGTGGGGTGGAGCTGCCTCACATGCCCTGCACCCACTTACCTTAAGACAGTTGCAGCCAGGCCTCTTATACCCCCAACATCTGCCTCACCTTGCTGGCCCACTTCTTCTGTGGTGGCTTGCCACCTCCTTGTGCATGTTGCCCCCGGCTTCTGTTTCACCATCAGAGACCTTCAGGAAAGGCCTCTGCAGCTGAGAAACGAACTCCGGATTGATACATACGTTGCCCCTGGCCTCTGTTTCACTGTCAGAGGCCTTTCCGAAATGGAGGCAGTGGGGGGTGCTGCTGCACACATTAATCCGTAGCTCATTTCTCCGCTGGCAGAGGCCTTTCCTGAAGACTTCTGATGGTGAAGTGGAGGCCTGGGGGCATTGCATGCATCAATCCAGAGCTCGTTTCTCAGCTGCAGAGCCCTTTCCTGAAGGCCTCTGACAGTGAAACGGAGGCCAAGGGGCGCAGCACATGTCAATCCAGAGCTCGTTTCTTGGCTGCAGAGGCTTTTCCTGAAGGCCTGTGATGGCGAAATGGAGGCCGGGGGGGTGCTGCGTTCATCAATCTGGAGCTTGTTTCTCAGCTGCAGATACCTTTCCTGACAGCCTCTGACGGCAAAATGGAGGCCATGAGGTGCCACGCAGGAGCGGCGGCAAGCGGTCACAGAAGAAGTGGGCTGGCAGTGGCCACACATGCTCCTGCTGAGCGGGTCTGTCAGTGTCACCACCACAAGATGAGACAGTGGAAGACATTCCCTGAAAATAAGACCTAATGCCTCTTTTGGAGGGAAAAAAAGACCAGGTCTTATTTTCAAGGAAACACGATGAAATGAAATGTGAAATGAAAGAAATGGAGTAGGAAATCAGCATCACAGAAAGAATGGTAAAAATAACAGGAGACAAGAAGTGGAAATGCTGGCTAAAGGTATATAGGCAACTGTTGCTGTTCTAAAGTCTCCCAGGAGATTCTTAAACAGAAGAAGGCAAAATGTGGGCTGGAATATTTTACCATTAGATAGATAAAAAGTTGGTTGAACAATCATATCCAATAAATGTGTGCCAATGGTACTGTCAAGGCTTCGACTAATAAACCCAAGCAAATCAGAACTCTGAGACTTGGCTTCTTCTCAAAGGTCTTCTTTAATGAGTACATTATATTGACACAGCTTCAATGGAAAACCAAATCTAAATCTTTCCCGCAGTCTCAGTATAAACTAGGAAATAACCCCATCCCCAAGTGTTACAGGTCACATTGGCCAATTGGGTTAATTCGCGGGCTCTTCAGGCACTCCTTCCCTACCGTTATCTGTTGCCAGTAGAGATTACCTTGGTTCTCACGAGAAAGCTCTTTGTTGTGTGTAGTAATGCATTCCAACCTCCTTCCCCCTTCACCCTCTGTGTGGCAACTGAGGAATAGAAAGATGGCTGCGGCCAGGTTCAGTCCGAAGTTGACAGGTACCAGTGATATAGTACAGGTTCCATTTTACATTACTGTTCTGGGTATCTTAGCAGATCACAAGTTGAACATGCAGTTGGAGAAGGAAGGAAGGAAAGAAGGAAGGAAGGAAAGAAGGAAGGAAGGAAGGAAGGAAGGAAGGAAGGAAGGAAGGAAGGAAGGACGGACATCTTAAATTGGATCAAGAAAAGTAAAGTGTCAGGATTAACAAAAGTCATTATTCCTGCCCTTTCTTCATTTGTTAGAACCAGATTTTTAAAAAGTCACTCACAAACTAGAATATGTGCAAAGGATAGGGAACATGAAATAAAAAATTATGAGAAATGTTGGGAAGCACTGGGTATGTTTAAGCTGAAAAAAAAAGATGGTATTGAGACGCCAAAGATATCTTCAAAGTATTTGAAAAGGTGTTATGTACAAGACTAGGCAGAATTCTTTCAAGTTGTTTCAGAAGACGGGAAGAACAATGAATTTAAAGTGGCAAGGAACTGTACATCAAGAAAAAAATCTTAATGGTAAAATCAGTTTTAGAATTGAATGGCTCACCCTAGATGCTGGTTGGATACTCTTTCATTGAATGCATCTAAACACAAACTGGATGGATAGATGTCAAAGCTGCTGGATTTCTATATTGGCCTAGATGAGCTCTAACTTCTTTTCTGAAAGTGGCAAAGTAAATATTTGATGGATATTATAATAAAATATTATGAGGGAATAGAAGGGGAACTCATCAAATTTGTAGATGATAGTGTTAGAATAAATATCCTTCTGGGTTCAGCTCCAAGTGGGGAAAAAGACACTGGAAACATGGAGACTGCTTGGAAAGATAGTTTAATGGTGGATAGGATCACATGGCTTGAGTACCTGAACAGAAAAGGGCAGAGATGCTGAGCGTGCCTTGGTTTTATGCCCTCTCTGGCTTTGAACTTCCTGGGGCCCAGAAAGAGTATCCCGATTGGTTATCAGACTCCCAGGGGGTGGGGGTCTTAGCTAGCCTTGCTGACTGATGTAATCTTCCCAAGTGCCATGTGGTGAGTTTTTGTTGCTAGATGGGTCCCATTGTGTTAGTTTCTGTTGCTAGATGGGTCTTATTGTGTTGCAGATGATGGTCCTTTGACAAAGGATTGGGTTTCTGCCTCTGGCCCATTGACAAAAGGAGAGGGGGAGGCAGGAAGGTGGGAGCTGCTTTGTCTTTAAAACATGTTTCTCCATTTCTCATCCAGGGAAATATATTCTGCCTTTTTAAGATTTCCTAAAATATTTCATTCTTCTAGAAAAGGGGTGGGTGCTAACTTCCTACAATAGTAAATTGGCAGGAATAGCCACCACCCCAGAAGACAAGCTCAGGATCCAAAAATATCTTGACAAACTTGAACAATGGGCTCTATCCAACAAAATGAATTTCAATGTGGAGAAAAGCAAAGTTTTACATTTAGGCAGGAAAAATCAAAGGTATAAGCCAAAAAAGCCAATGCTGCTTTAACAGAGGGATACAATCAAGAGCAAGTGAGGTACTAATACCACTCTATAAAGCCTTAGTAAGACCACACCTAGAATACTGCATCCAGTTTTGGTCACCACACTATAAAAAAGATGTTGAGACTCTAGAAAAAGTGCAGAGAAGAGTAACCAGGATGATTAGGGGACTGGAGACTAAAACATATGAAGAAAGTTTACTGGAACTGGGCATGGCTAGTCTAGTGAAGAGAAGGACCAGAAGACCTCCAAGGCCCCTTCCAGCTCATTCTGTTCTGCTCTGCTCTGCTCTGCTCTGCTCTGCTCTGCTCTGCTCTGCTCTGCTCTATTCTATTCTATTCTATTCTATTCTATTCTATTCTATTCTATTCTATTCTATTCTATTCTTTCTCTTTTCTATCCTATCCTATCCTATCCTTATTATTTTATAATACCAATGTATGATTAAATATAGAAGAATATGGTTCAGCATTTTATATCATTCAATGGACAGTGTAGAAGAACCAATTTTCAAGAGAACTGAAATGGTATTGTTGTCAACCTATTGCATAGTCATCCTGCTTTCATGTTTTGTATGCTTTTTCAAAATAAACTGCATTCATCAGCATAGAAATTAAAAATTACTATTGAGATCTTTTCCTGCCAGAGGTTTTTCCATCTTTTTGGTTTGGTGTCCTTAATTAAATAGTTCCTTTAGTAAATCAGCCCTTACAATTGACTTTTTTTTGCAACCAAAATTAACATTCATTCATTATTCATTCATTTTTTTGTTTCAAATAACCAACCAATTGTTCTCATGTAATGATCAATTGTTGTACCAGGAAAAAAATTAAACAAATAATAAGCACCTGTAATTTTAGATTACAGGATTAAAGGATTACCTAGAATTTTGAAACTGCACAAGGGAAATAACAAACAGAAGGGTGTTGTTGGAGGAGGGGCCATATTGAAAGAAAAGGACAAAACAAAAATAATTAAGGGTTTGTAACTGGGCAGTATTTGGGGGTTTTCAGGATTCTTAGAAGGTCGCACTAATTACTGGAGTTACAATTACTCTTTTTTTACTTCTATATTTCGTTTTCTTTTAGATGATGATGAGGATCTGAATGAGGATACTGTAGAAAAAATAGTGAAATGTATCATTCAAAATGAAGGTGGGCATAACTTTGGCTTAGTTAAGTAAAGCCGTAGCACCTGGGGCCTTGTTCTGATACATTTTTATTTTCTTCCCTTTTTAGCAAATGTTGAAGTTCTGAAAGAAATGCTTGGAGAAAGTGATGCTGATCTCCCACTGCCAGTGCCTGTACCCAGGTGAGGAGAGCATATAGGTTCAATTTGGTATAAATCACATCTTGAGAATCTCTCATGTTTTCCTTCTTCCTTCCCTCAGTCATGTGACTAAATCACATGATATAGTAGTGAGTGTATATAGGTATGTATGTGAATGACATACATTCTGCCTTATTATTCATTTTCAACATAACATAAGTGTAATGGAGATTACTGGCCATAGGAGGGTAAGTTTAAAAGCTCTCCTCAGTCATCTGTCTTGTAATCCCCCCACAATGCCACTAAGTGCTAATTGAGGATTTTCTTCCTGATTCTTTCAAATCCCAGAGGCAGGGAAAGAATGTGGTTGGAGAGGAAATATTTAGAGGTCTGCCCCCAGCATATCCTATGGGGTCTACTAGGATAGAGAAGAGTGGTAAGAAGAGCTGCATATTGAATGCATATGTGTAGTTTTCACTCTGTTTGAATGACCAGATTAGATGTCTGTCATTCAGAGGAGCTAAACATATTGCAGCCCATCTTTTTGTAGTAGGATAAAAAACCAGAACAGAAGGTCAGGCTCAGATGGCCCTAGTTAATTGTGTTGATGCAGGATGTTACATTGTTGTATAGCAATTGTGTAATGTTCTTATACAGTTCCTATTTATTTCATTTGGGCCTCAGTAGATGTATTTTGAAGAGAATGGAGTTTCATGGATTATATTTTACTATCCAGGAGTTTGAAAATAGTCTGAGTGGAAGTCTGATTTTGCCTTCCAGTGCAGGTTTCTCTGTGTTGGCTCTATGTTATATGTACTAATGGGGTTTGCTTTAGAATTTCATTTATGTAACTGCTAATCTTTAAATCTAATGGCTCTTTTCTCCAGTGCTCTATGCCCACATCGCAGCAGCCAAGATGGTGGCATTCCTCATCACCACACAGTGCACTTAGGTTCAACACAAGCACCTTGCATTCATTGCAGCAAGAAAAAGAGACCTCCCATACATCGTCAGGGCCGGTTAAAAGAGAGCAAAAGCAAGATGCACCCTGGGGAAACAACAGTCTTTTCAGTTGGCAGGTAGGTGTTAGTTTGCATTCTATAGAAGAGTTTTGGATTAACTCACAATAAGTATCTAATGAAATACAAGAAGAGTAATAGTGTCAGATTCTAAGGCATAAGAAAGCCAGTTTGATGTAGTAATTAAGACTAGAAATTGGGAGACTGTGAGTTCTAGTCCCAACTTAGTCACAAAGTCACTCTTTTTCAGTCCTAGAAAGGAGTCAGTGGCAAACCAATTTTGAAATCTTGTCCAAAAATTAAAGGAACTCAATGAGTGGAAGCTCATTAAAGAGACATCCAACCTGGAGTTAAGGAGAAATTTCCTGACAGCTTGTTTCCAAGGGTTGTGGGTGCTTCCATCACTTGGAGGTTTTCAAGAAAAAATGGACAGCCATTTCTCTGGGATGGTATAAGGTCTCCTGCCTTGGGCTGGAGTTTGGACTCGAAGATTTCTCCCGGAAAAATCCTGGAGCATTGGGGAAGTACCTGAGGATTGGAAAAGGGCTGATGTGGTTCCCATCTTCAAGAAAGGAATAAAAAAAGACCCAGGAAACTACAAACCAACCAGTCTAACATCAATACATGGGAAGATCCTGGAAAAGATAATAAAAAACCAGATCTGCAAACAAGAAGCAAATAAAGTTATAACTAGTAGCCAGCACAGGTTTGTTAAAAACAGATCATGCCAAACCAATCTTATTTCATTCTTTGATAAAGTCACTAAATTAGTAGACCAGCGAAATGCTGTGGACATAGTATACTTAGATTTCAGGAAGGCATTTGACAAAGTAGACCACAATCTACTTCTTGGTAAGCTAGAAAAATGTGGAATAGATGGATCACCACCAGATGGATTTGTAACTGGCTGCAAACTATACTCAATGAGTAGTCCTTAATGGTACTACATCCACATGAAGAGAAGTAAGCAGTGGGGTACCACAAGATTCCGTCTTAGGCCCAGTAGTCTTTAATATTTCACTAATGACTTAGATGAGGGAATAGAAGGGGAAATCATCAAAGTTGCAGATGGTACTAAACTGGCAGGAATAGCCAACACCCCAGAAGACAAGTTCAGAATCCAAAAAGATCTTAACAAACTTGATCAATGGGCCCTATCCAACAAAATGAATTTTAATGTGGAGAAAAGCAAAGTATTACATTTAGGCAGGAAAAATCAATGGTATAAGTACAGATTAGGCGAGGCCTGGCTCAAAAACAGTAACTGTGAAAGGACCTTGGAGTCCTAGTGAATGATCTCTTGAATATGAGCCAGCAGTGTGCAGCAGCAGCCAAAAAAGCTAATACAATCCTGGGTTGTATAAACAGAGGCATAGAATCAAGATCATGTGAAATATTAGTGCCGCTTTATAAAACCCTAGTAAGACCACACCTGGAATTCTGCAACCAATTTTGGTCATCATACTACAGAAAAGATGTTGAGACTTTGGAAAAAGTTTAGAGAAGAGCAACTAAGATGATTGAAGGCCTTGAGACTAAACCATATGAAGAATGGATGCAGGATTTGGGTTTGGCTAGTCTAAAGAAAAGAGGAAAGAGGGGTATCATGATAGGAGTATTCCAGTATTTGAGGGGCTGCCACAAAGAGGGGATCAAATTATTCTCCAAAACACCAGAGGGCAGGACAAGAAACAATCGTTGGAAACTAATCAAAAAGAGAAGCAACCTGGAATTAAGGAGAAATCAACAACTACTGACTGTGCAATTGAGATCCTCTCAGGAGCTAAGCTACCAAAGCCGAAACTCTACTTCATGACACCCTGGGAGCTAGATGAACTGCACAATTTCATAGACAAAAACTTAGAGCGTGGCTTCATCCAGTCTGCTAGATCCAAAGTAGCTGCCCTGGTACTGTTCCAGGAAAAGAAAGATGGCTCACTTCATTTATGCATTGATTATAGAGGTCTAAATGCAGTGTGCATGGAAAATGTATACCTCCTACTCCTCGTGAAGGACATGCTGGACTACCTTTCAAAGGGCAAGATTTTTTCTAAGCTGGACTTGTGGGAAGCCTATTACCAAGTCAGGATTTGGGACGGGGATGAGTGGAAGATGGCTTTTAACTGCCCATTGGGGTGTTTTCAGTGCTCCTGTTTGGACTCCAAGGGGCCCCTGCAGTGTTCATGCAGCTAATAAATAAGGTGCTGCATGAAGACCTATATAACAGTGTTTTGGTGTACCTTGATGACATCTTGATATATACCGAAACAAAAGCTGAGCACATAAAGCTGGTACGGGCAGTCCTGAAAAACCTCTGAGCTGCCAAACTATACGCTAAGCTCTCAAAATGCAAATTCCACAAAGACAAAAAAGACTATCTGGATCTCGCACCAGGGGGTAGAATTGGATCCGGAAAAAGTGTGAGCAGTGTTAGAATGGGAAGCCCTGTGCACCCAAAAACAGCTACAAAGCTTCCTAAGGTTCACAAATTTCTATAGGCAATTCATCCCATCATTCACTCAAATCGCCCTCCCTATTACTAACTTGCTGAGAACCATGGGAGTAGATAAGCCTAAACCCAGCCAACCACTAAAGTGGAACATGAAATGCCAAGTAGCATTCGAGAAACTAAAAAAGCTCTTCTCAGCTGAGCCAGTGTTGAAACACCCAGACCCTCCAAAACCCCTTTGTGATTCAGTCTGACGCCAGTGATGTGGCAATGGGGACTGTGTTGCTTCAGGAAAATAAGGGGGGTCAGCTACAACCCTGTGCATACACATTGAAAAAACTAACCGAAACTGAGCAGCATTGGGCAATATGGGAGAAAGAAGCATTTGCAGTCAGATGGGCTCTCCTCACTTGGCGACACTTCCTGGAAGGGAATAAAATCTCTTTCCAGGTATGGACCGACTACAAGAATCTGAAAGTCCTAAAGGCCCCAAGGAAAATGTCCCCCAAGTAGCATGTTGGGCCCAGTACTTCCAGGGATTTAACTTCACCCTCCACTATTTGCCGGGGGGGAGAGGGGGAACTTCTTGGCAGACACTTTGTCCAGACTGCCCCAATATAACAGTGCAAAGACAGAAGTAGTTAAACCCATGCTTCCCGTATCGCAATTAGCAGCACGGGTCATCACAAGATAGCAAGCAAAAGGGGAACTCCACTGCAGACAACACCATCACTGTAGCCTTTAAACAGGCCCTAGAGAAGGATAGTGGTTCCTTAACCACAAAAACACTTGCTTCATGCAAGACAGACTACCCTGGGTGGGAGGCAAACTCTTATGTCCCAGCTAGTGAAAGACTAAAAACCATGCAACCTGCCATGATTCCAAATTGGCAGAGCACTTTGGGTTTGTAAAAACTCTGCACCTCCTGAAACGACAATTTTGGTGGCCATCCCTTAAAAAGGACATTGAAAGTTATGTTGCCAGCTGCCCCACCTGCGCAGTGGCAAAGTGCAGGCAGGGAAAAATTCCTGATCTCTTGCAGCCGGTAGCTGCAACTTCAGCACCCTGGAGAGAGATTTCTATGGATTTTATCATAGAACTTCCAGAGAGCTCCAGAAACAGAGTAACTTGGGTGGTGATGGACCTTTTTTCAAAACAGGTGCACTTTGTCCCATGCCAGAAAATCCCAATGGCCAAAACTCTAGCAAAGCTATTCTTACTTCATATATACTGCTTACATGGCACTACACGCCAAATTATATCAAATTGGGGGATCCAGTTCACCTCCAAATTCTGGAAAGTTTTTGGGACCTTTTGGGAAGCAACCAGGGCCTCTGTTGTAGTCACAATCCTCAAACAAATTGGGCGATGGAACTGTTCTGACCTAGGCTTCCTGATATAGTAAAAAGCACACAATTAGTCCCCACCCCCCCTTTTTTTAACGGCTGTGAATTCCTTTCATTCACAGCACGTGCTGAATCACCGAGTTTATAAATAGTTCAACAGAAGTCTGCCACAGTCCTTCGGATAAAGCTGGTAAACACCCACCTTTATCTTCTTTGACACCCTGCCAAAGATCTAATTGGCAATTATCTTGGCAAGGCCACACAGAAACACAGAGTCAAAAACAGAGCTTCAAAGTACAAACTGACACCATCCACAATGTTGCTTCCTGCAAAGGCCCACATGCCTTTGCTCTTCCTTTATGTCTTATGGGAGGGGCCAATCATCTCCAAGCCTTACTCCTGAGTCTGAGTTTGTTTTAACTGTTCTTGCCTTCTGGCAGCTCTGTGAATGCGCACATAGGAACAGGCTCCCCCTGTTCCTCTGCCTCTCTGATGACTGACTCTGGAGGCTCCAGAGTCTGCACATAACTCCCAGATGGCCCTGGCCCCATCTGCCTCCAATGCAGAGCCCTCATCCAAGCCTTCCCCAGACTCCAGGACTGGCCCATGTTCCTCCCCAGCCTCCTCACTATCTGACTCTGCTGCCAGCTTCGCAGGCTGCTGGTGGATCACAACAGGAACAAATTAACTCAGTTCTGGAACAATACCTCCAATGCTTTATTAACTACCAACAGGATGACTGGACTTAACCTGTTGCCATTTGTGGAGGTAGTGTACAACAATTCAGTGCACACCAGCAAGGGTTTTACCCCATTCCAAGTAGCCACAGATCAAGAATTTAACCTGATGCCTGAACTACCCACTATTGAACTAACAATCCCCTCCCTAAAGGAGTGGATCAATCAGCTAAAGACCACCTGGCCTATGATCCACAAAGCCCTAGACCAGGGGTCGGCAACCTTAAACACTCAAAGAGCCACTTTGGCCTGTTTCCTACAGAAAACAAAACACTGGGAGCCACAAAACCTGAGTGGGCATGGCCAACTTGATGTCACGCACACCAGACCCCCCCAGCCACGCCTACCCAGGTTTTGTGGCTCCGTGTTTTCTATGGGTAATAGGTAACTCCTTCTGTCTCTCTCCCTCTCTCCCATCTCTTTCTCCCTCTCTGTCTATCTCCCTCTCTCCCTCTTATCTTTATCTTTTTCTCATTTGTCTTTCTTTTTCTATCTCCCTATCACCCTCTCTATCTCACTCTCTTTCCTCTCTCATTTGTCTCTGTCTCTCTTTCTCTCCCCCCCTCTCTCTGTGTTGCTCTCTTTTGCTCCCTGCCTCTGTCTCTTCTCACACTCAGAAAGCCCTGCAGCCCTGAGTGCTCTCTTTGGGGCTTTTTGCCAGCTGTTTTTTTTCCCTTCCTTTTGGAAAGCTGGGCTGGCGGAGCAATGAGCGCAACCTGCGGAGGAGGCTTCCTTCCTCCTCCCCCCCTGCACGCCCAGACCGGATGTGGCGGGGCCGGGAAGGTACACACGAGAGGAGGGGGAGGGGCGGGAAGCCTCCACCGCAGGTTGCTCTCATTGCTCTGCCAGCCCGGCTTTCCAAAAGGAAGGGGAAAAAAAAACAGCCAGAGAAAAGCCCCAAAGAGAGTACGCAGGGCTGCAGGGCTTTCCGAGTATGAGAAGAGACAGAGGTAGGGAGTGAGAGAGAGTAACAGAGAGAGGGGTGGAGAGAGAGTGGGTTTCCCCTTCCCCCTAGGAAACGTAAGCAAACGGAAATATAGCTCTTTCTGAAAGAGCTGAGATCAGGGAAGGCACAGGAAACAGAAAGCGCCATGGGCAGGGGAATGCTTCCCCACGCCGCCCCCTTTTTTCTCTTGGCCCCACCGACAAGGGAGGTGGAAGGCCAGGCTTGGGGGGAATAGCCCCCACCCTGCAAGATCTGCCCCCGCTGTTCTCTCCCAGCAGCCCTTGATGATGGCAACAGCAAATGTACCAGGGGGAATGCTGTTGTCGCACAAAGGCAAGTGCAGGGGTGCTTTGCTCCTGCACTAAGGGTCCGACCATGCCACTGCCATGACAGGGAGCCATGGCAGAGGGCCCAAAGAGCCACATGCAGCCCCAGAGCTGCAGGTTGCAGATCCCTGCCCTAGACAAAACGAAAGCAGCCTATAAGGCTTAGGCAGACAAACAGAGAGTGTAGCATTTAAAGTTGGGGATCTGCACCCAATCTTCCATTGCAGCCTCTTAAAATCCAAAGTGACCTCAGTCTTATGACCCACGCCCCACCCTTACCACAACCCATTATGGTAGAGGGCAAACAACACTTTGAGATTAAACAGATTCTTGATTCAAGATGGCACCATGGATCCACCCAGTATTTAGTGGCCAGGAAAGACCTCCCTACATCTCAAAATGAGTGGGTTCACAAAAAACACAGAGCCGCTAGATTAATCGAGTGCTTCCACCAACTCTACCCTGACAAACATAACTGTTTTATTATTGTCTTCCACTTCGTTATTTTTTTTGTCTAGAGGTGGATGTCTCCTTTTCTTAGAGGGGCAGCATGTCAACTCCCGTTGATCTCTGTCGGGATCTTGCCATTCTGGAGGGAGGGAGAGGATTCGGGCTACGCTTGCATATTTTTTTCCTTTGTTCTTGTTCTGTGCTTTGATGTACCTTTGGGATGTTGGTAGGTGGGAAGGAATGTGCCTTGGGCCATCTGTTTTGTCTCACCACTGGAGGAGCAAGATCATGGTGCCTGGGAACCATCTGTTATCACCTTCTCAGCCTGAAGTTCTCACAACATCTTTGCACTTTGGGATTGGCTCAAAGATGAACTGGACATTGGGAGGGGCCCTGGAATGAGCAGATTAACCTAACACTCCAGCACACAAAATTCAGATTCTGCCTACACTCTTTCTACTATCGCTATCTTCCAGTAAAAGTTCCTTTTGAAATGCCGTTCATTTCAAGAGTATTGCTTTCTTGAGAAGGCTGGCAAGGCAGGACCTTACAGTTCTATTTCATTATTTCACTTCCACCCATTCCTCTAATATATCAATATCATACTGAATTTTATTTCTGTGTTCTGGGATATTATCTATCTCATCCAATATTGGGTAATCTACAAATTTGGCAGCATAATTGCCCCTATTCTTCAAATTCATTCATAAGAATACTGAAAAAAGAGGACCCAAAACATTTCTTTGAAGAACCCCACACAGAATCTCTCTCCAGTGTGATAAGAAACCACTGGCAAACACTGTTTATGCATTTTGAGACAGTTATGTATATATTTTAATTATCCTGCCATCCAGCCTAAATGGTATATCATTAAGTTCTTGTCAGATGATTTGCTGATGTCTAAACTTTTTTTACTTTTATTTAATTTGTATACCTCCCTTCTCCCGAAGGACTCAGGGCGGTGAACAGCCAACAATAAAATACATACATACAAAATTTAAAAAACAGAACTAAAATTGAATTAAATAATTTGGCCCAAACAGATTAAAACCCCAATCAATTTAAAACAGATTTAAACTTTGAAAATTAAAAGATATTAAAAATATTAAAATATTAAAATTGTTTAAAAATTGTTTAAAAAGAGGGAGAAAGTTAGGCCAGGCCCGCCTGGTGAAATAAAAAGGTCTTTAGAGCGCGGCAGAAGGTGCGCAGATCCGGGATCCTCCATATCTCCGGGGGGAGCTCGTTCCAGATAGTAGTGCCCCCACAGAGAAGGCTCTCCCCCTGGGGGCCGCCAGTTGACATTGTTTGACCGACGGCACCCGGAGTAGCCCTTCTCTATGAGAGCGTACCGGCCGATGGGAGGCTATTGGTGGTAGTAGACGGTCCCACAAGTACCCAGGTCCTGAGCCATGGAGCACTTTAAAGGTGGTAACCAAAACCTTGAAGCGCACCCGGAAGACCACCGGGAGCCAGTGCAGCTCGCGCAGGAGGGGTGTTACATGGGAGCGCCATGTCACTCCCATTACCACCTGCGTGGCCGCACTCTGCACCAGTTGGAGCCTCCGGATGCTCCTCAAGGGGAGCCCCATGTAGAGAGCGTTACAATAGTCCAGGCGGGAGGTGACAAGGGCATGAGTGACCGTGCGTAAGGAGTCCTGATCCAGAAAGGGACGCAACTGGCGAATCAGGCAAACCTGATGAAAAATCCTTCCGGTCATGGCCGTCAAGTGCTCTTCTAAAGACAGCCGTGAATCCAGGAGGACGCCCAAGTTGCGCGCCCTCTCCGTGGGGGCCAATGATTTGCCCCCAATAGTCAGTGATGGCACCAACTGACTATATTGGGACGTCGGAAACCACAGCCACTCGGTCTTGGATGGGTTGAGCCTGAGCCTATTCCTCCCCATCCAGATCCGCACGGCTTCCAGGCACCAGGACATCACTTCAAGGGCATCGTTGGGGTGGTCTGGGGTGGAGATGTACAGCTGGGTGTCATCAGCGTACTGGTGGTACTTCACCCCGAAACCACAGATGACCTCGCCCAGCGGCTTCACATAAATGTTGAACAGGAGGGGCGAGAGGACCGACCCTTGCGGCACCCCACATATGAAGGGCCTCGGAGTTGACCTCTGCCCCCCTGTCAACACAGACTGTGACTGGTCAGAGAGAAAGGAGGAGAACCACTGCAACACAGTGCCTCCCACCCCTAACTCTTCCAACCGGTGCAGCATGATACCATGGTCGATGGTATCAAAAGCCGCTGAGAGACCTAATAGGACCAGGACAGAGGAGTATCCCCTGTCCCAAGCCCTCCAGAGATCATCTACCAACGCGACCAATGCCGTTTCCGTGCTGTACCTGGGCCTGAAGCCCGACTGGAATGGATCCAGATACGTCGTTTCATCCAGGTGCTGGGGGAGCTGTTGTGCAACCACACTCACAACAACCTTCGCCACAAAGCGAAGGTTGGAGACCGGACGATAGTTTACCAACATTTCTGGGTCCAGGGAAGGCTTCTTGAGGAGAGGCCTCACCACCGCCTCTTTCAAGGCGGCGGGAAAGTCACCCTCACCCAACGAAGCATTTATAATCCCCTGGAGCCAGCTTTGCGTCACCTCCCAGGAAGCCAACACTAACCAGGAGGGGCACGGGTCCAATAAACAAGTGGTCGCGTTCAGTCTGCCCAGAATCCTGTCCACGGATGTCTACAACACTCCCAATATGTCTACAACACTCCCAAAACCTATTCATTTTCGTTATCCAATCAAAAACTGAGGCAAGATTAGTCTAGCAAGATTTAATATTGGCAGATCTATGATATATAGTAATAAATCTCTCCCCCCCCTCTCTATACATACATACATACATACATACATACATACATATATATATATATATATATATATATATATATATATATATATATATATCCATTAAGCTACAGTGTAATAGATTCTGCTCCTTTAACCTGCGCTGGTAAAGTACATACTTTTTTTTGTCAGAGAAAACTGAACCAAAATAGGAATTGAACAGCATACTATTTAAGTATGCATTAACTTAGCAGCTGAAAATTAAGAATTCCAGCATTACATAATCATTTTCCCACAGTTGCTGTATTAGTCACTCCTCAACTAAATTTTCCAACTGATGGAACTGAATGCCTTTTGGATAGAACTATTAATAAAAGGTCAATGTTTGAAATAAAAGATAATACATGAATTGAGCAGATATTTGAGAAGGTGCTATTGAAAAACAGCGTAGACAGACAAATGGGAATGAAGAAGCATCAGTTGCGAAGTTTAGCATGCCAATGCAGCAAGAGTATTCAGATGTTCAAATTTCAGTGTTCCAATTGGCTAATTCTTTGGAAATTTAGAGAACAAGCTAAGAAATAAATAAGAAGGGATAGATAGGAATTAGGTAAATTTCCACACAAGGCCCATTCCCTGACTTCTGCCCAAGTCAAAATAAATCAATCTAAAAATACACGGGGAAAAATGTAATAATAATTCTTTTGCAAATTCAGCAAAAAGGACTAACAAAACCCATCATATTTTGAGACTTAGATTCTGCCTCTGGATCTTAAAATCTGATCTTCACTGACCAGGCAACAAAAATGATGCCTGGTCAGATTCTTTCTGAATAATTTGCTGATGCTGAGTGATGTGTCTTTTTCCCCCCCCTAGATTTCGTGTCACCCATATTGAGAAAAAAACCGTTTCCCATGAATCCCAGGAAGAATCCTTTCATGAGAACAAGCCGGATGTAGCTGATACAAACCAGGAGACTTATAGCAATGAGAAACTTCAATGGACTGGGTCACAGAATGGAATTGTTCATACAGATGGAGTACAGGAAAGAAAATTAGTTCAGCCAGATTCTGAAAGACCACCAAAGGAGACTACTGTAGATGATTTAACTCATTTAAATTTAACAGCCAATACAAATATAGCCATCAATGAAACAGAGGGAGGATACCCTAAGGCACATTCTTCACAAGAAGCAATAAACTCTGCTGCTAGTTATGCAACTGAGACTAACTCCACTCCAGGACCCAAAGATCTTTCATCAGAAGAGCTAGAGGAGGATAAAAAAGCTGAACAGATGGGCCATCAGAGAGTAGTTTATGAAGTATCAGATAACAAACAAGGACAAGTTCTTTCAATAGGACCCGAACTGGAAATTTGCTCAGTAGAGCAAGTGGCATAAAGCATCAGGTAGTTATTTTTAATTTCTTTCTTGTTTTCTCCTATGTGCATCAAGAAATTCACAATCTGAATTTTGTTCTTTCAGTATATAAAGTCATTAGAAAAATATAAATCAAATATTGATTAACACAACAGTTCTAAAGGTATACAGTGTGCTGAGGCTATTGAAAGAGCTGGGATAGTGTTGCATAAATTCCCTTGTGAAAATGGTGAAATAAGGGTAATATCTTTAGGGAAATTGAAATGCCAAATAAGTATACATTTTTAAGAATTGTGGAACTCCAAAAACACAATTTTCAGTGAATACTGGGTATGTGTAATGATAGTAGTTTCCTGATATGGTACTCTCTTGTTGACTTGTGACTGATGATTTCTTGAGATGAATTATGCCACAAAAATCCTGAAAGCAATATCAAGAGACTACTGTAGGCAGGAAAGCCAAAAGGAGCCCAGATGATGTTGTTATCTGTACTTCTGATGGAAGGTCAACCGCTGGTTTAAGGGAGGTGCCATAGAAAGAACTGCAGATTTTGGGACCATGGTTTACCGTATCTACAGAAAGGGCTTCTGGCAGGGGATGGACTCCAACCCACAAGAGCTGGGAAGAATGTGTTTGGAATGTGTTTCTAGTTTTAGTTTAAAGACCTTGGATAAGCTAAGCCAATTGGCTTAGTGTTGTGGTCCGCCAGCAGCCAGCAGAGCTGGCAGCAGAGTTAGACAGTGAGGAGGTTGGGGAGGAACATGGGCCGGTCCTGGGGGCTGAGGAAGGCTCGGATGAGGGCTCTGCATCAGAGGCAGAGGGGGAGCTAGACAGCAGTGAGGCAGAAGTGTTGTGACTCCGACCTCCGAGCCCGTCTTATCGGAGGGAGAAGACTCCGAAAGTGAAGGAGAGGAGTTGGCAAGGCCTCCCTCTCCAGGACCCTCCTCTCTGGCAATGCCTCAGGTGTCTTCCGAAGGAGAAGAGAAAGGCCAGGAGCCAAGCACTTCCGAGCAGCCACAGTTAGACAGCGACGGAGATAAGTCTTGGCTGGATCCCCGACAGCGTCAGAAAGACAAGCGCGCGCAGCAGAGAAGGAGGCGTGCCAGAGATTAAGCTGAGTCACTGGACCACACCCCACAGGGGATAAAAGGGGGTGTGGTGGCCATTCAGGCTTTGTGACGGACAAAACTGAAAGCTAGCAAGTCATTCTGCATTTCTGGAACTTTGTTATATGCTCTGCTTGGATGGATTCTTGGACTGGATTTGACTATTCTTTGGCTTTTGTGGACTTACTTTGATGTTTTCGGAGGAGATAAACCTCCCTTTGTAAGTAAAAACTTTTGGCAGGCAGCCACTGGGTTGCTGCCAATTCTGCTATCAAAGGAAATTCTTGTCTGCTGGTTTATTTTAACTCTTGGTCGACTGCTGGTGTGCGTGTGTGAGACGGGGACAGAACAAGAAGAACAGCTGGAGCCCAGTGTGCGCATGCACAATTCCCAGTGTATGCATGAACAGAGTGCCAGAAGACAAGAACAACTAAGAAAGCAGGATCGACTTGGGAGTAAAGCCACACCTTGGAGGTGATTGGCCCCTCCCATAGAAAACAAAAGAGGAGTGAGCAGGGAGTGGGCTTTTGCAGGAAACAATTCATTCGTTTGGTCATTTCAAGAGTGGAAAGTTCTGTTTGTGACTAAGAGACTCTGTGCCAAGTTTTGCCTTACACTATGTTTGGTATCTGGCAGCATTCCAAGCGAGATAAGGTTCATGTTGATAAATATTCCTCTGAAAGACTGTTTGCCCGGCCTTGCTGATGGTGAATGAAAGGAATTCACAGTCGTGTAAATAAAAGGGGGTTTTGCCAGGACCAAGACTCTGCTTCATGCTTTTTAAGGAAGCCTAGGTCAGAACCCTTAGCTTATCCAAGGGCTTTAAACTAAAACTGGAAGGGAGGGGAAGTAGACAAATCTTCAGGAAACATAAACCTCAAACATAAACCCCACAATAACCAATCAGACAACAAGGAAGGAAATGGCAAGAAGGAAGAGGAACAAGCTATTCTCCAAAGCACCTGACGGTAGGACAATAAGCAATGAGTGGAAACTAATCAAGGAGAGAAGCAACTTAGAACTGAGGAGAAATTTCCTGACAGAACAATTAATCAGTGGAACAACTTGCCTTCAGAAGTTGTGAATGCTCCAACACTGGAAGTTTTTAAGAAGATGTTGGATAACCATTTGTCTGAAGTGGTGTAGGGTTTCTTGCCTAAGCAGAGGGTTGGACTAGAAGACCTCCAAGGTACCTTCCAACTCTGTTATTCTATTCTAACTCGGTTACAAAATAAGAGAAATAGGAAGCAAACAAAATATCAGCCATAAAGGACTCAGATGCCTATACACTATTGCGCAAAGTATGGGGAACAAACAGAGGGAACCTGAAGTCCTAGTACATGAGAGAAGGTATGATATTGTTGCTATTACTGAAACCTATTTATATTTCACATTTCTGAACTGCCCATCTCCCTCAAGGAAGGACTCAAAACTTGATGGGATGGAACCCATGAGTCAAAAGTACTTTTAGAAAGATATAAATTGTTTTAAAAAATAGATCAAACAAAAGAGGAGGGGTAATTGCATTGTCCATAAGAAATCACTGCTCCTCTACTGAAATACACAGCACCAAGGAGGAAACCCTTCTCAAATATGTTAGAGGAAAAATAAATGACATAAGTGTATACTGCAGACCATCCAACCAAGCAGAGGAAATTGACGAACTGTTTTCTAATCAGTTAGTTAAGGTATGCAGAAACATACCTCTGTAGTAATGAGGGACTTTAATGACCCTCATTACTGACATCAACCGGGGGACAAACTGTGCAGCAAGTGGGAGATCAAATGTCTAGTTGACACTTTTGTCACCCAAAAGGTAGATTAGGGAACTGTGGGGGTCAAGTATACCGGACTTAATTCTTACCAATAGGGATGAAATGATTGAAGGGATAGAAGTTGTAGAAACCCGGGGGTGAATAACTATGTCATACTAAAATTCAACATAATGCAGGCACAGGTAATTGAACCAAGTCACTAGATTTAGACTTTAAGAGAGCTCACTTCAACAAATTAAGAGAGAGATTAGGAAGGATTCCATGGATAGAAGGGAAAAACAAGAGCCATGGGAATCTGAAAAATGAGTTCATAAAAGCCCAATAAAACACAATACCACAGAGAAATAAAACGAGATCCCAGACCAAACCTGCATGCACAATGGACTCTGACAAACTGAAAGAAAAATGGACAAATATAAAAAAGGGAAAAAGGGAAACATAACCAAAACAGAATATCAGCAAATATCCTATATCTGCAAACAGAGTCAGGTTCAGAATAAACTAAGACTTGCCATAAATGTCAAAAATAACAAAAATAAGTTTCTTTCAATATACAGAACAGAGAATTGGAAAGGACATTGGAAGTCTTCTAGTCCAACCCCCTCCCCAAGTAGGAGACCCTATACCATTCCAGACAAATGGCTGTCCAATTGCTGCTTAAAAACGTCCAATGATGGAGCACCCACAAGTCATTTCACTGATTGTTCTGACTCTCAAGAAATTTCTCCTTAATTCTAGGTTGGAATCTCTCTTTCATAATTTTCCATCCTTACTTTTTGTTCTGCTCTCAGGTACTTTGGAAAATAGGTTTCCCTTTTCTCTTAAGACTACTATCAATTAACCCTAGTCCTTCATTAGACTACACATATCTAGTTCCTGCAACTGCTCATCATAAGATTTAGCTTTCAGTCCCCTAATTATTTTTGTTAGTCTTCTATGCACTCTTTCTAGAGTGCCAACATCTTTTTTGTGTTGTGGTGACCATAACTGGGTCCAGTATTCTAATTGTGGCCTCACTAGTGCAGTAAAACTAAACTAAAGCAATAAAACTGTGATCTTGATACTGTCCCTGTATTGATGCAGTCTAGGACTGCATTGGGTTTTTTTTGGCAGCTGCAGTATACTGCTGGCTCATACCTAAGTGGTTGCCACTAGGAAACCTAGATTCCTCTTATAGATATTGTTATTGAGCCATGTACCACCTATTCTATACCTGTTCACTGGTTTTTTTCTTGATTAAGTGCAAAACCTTACTTTTCTCACCACTGAATTGCATTTTGTTTAGTAGAGCCCAGTGTTAAAGTCTGTCAAGATTTTTCTGGATCTTGAGCCTATCTTCTAAAGTGTTGACTATTCTCCCCAGCTTGGTAATATCTTCAAATTTGATGAGTTCCCCTTCTATTCCCTTCATTTATTCACCCCTTTCCTATTATTTAGATAATAAATAAAACTGGCACAAGTTGCCAACGAAGATGAAGGGAAAGCAATATTTTTATTTTTGGGTAATATATTTAGTGGCATAAAACTTACTTAAAAACAGAAAAAGAATTACCGGTATGTGATTGTCCTGTGAGGCATTTGAAATGTAAGCATCACAAAAGAGGTATAAACAAAAGACAGATCTTTTGAGGAATTCTTCACTGATGTAAATCTGCTAAACCTGGATTATAATTTTGCACATCTCCCTGAATCCTCATTTAAAAAAACAGCAACAGGCTGTGCCTGTTAGCAAGTAATTATTTTATTAAACTCATTAAGGTATAAAATATAACATGAAAATAAGGGGAAAGGAGGAAAGAAAGAAATTTAGGATAAGTGGGGGGGGGGGGGAAACCATTAACTCCCAACTATTTTCAGTGCAGCACAGTAGAATGAACATAATAACATTACAGCCTCAACTTTTTATACTTTGTATACTCAGTATCACAGAATAACAGAGTTGGAAAGGACCATGGAGGCCCTATATCATGCCAGACAAATGGCTGCCAGTCTCTTCATAAAAACCTCTAGCAATGGAACACCCACAACTTCTGAAGGCAAGTCGTTCCACTGATTGATTGTTCTCACTGTCAGGAAATTTCTCCTTGATTAGTTTCCATCCATTGCTTCTTGTCCTTCTTTCAGGTGCTTTGGAGAATAGGTTGACCC